AGAACCTCCACAAGTTTGGTTTAGAGAGAAAAATTATGAGAGAGAGAGAGAGAGATTCCTAATTTCTCTCTGCCTCCATCTTCTCTCCGGCGTCGCCCTCTTCCAATTTCCGTCGCCTTCCTCACGGCCTCCGAGATAATCCGGTAGTCGTCCCCTGGCCACTCGGCCCTTTCCCGGTGGTTGCGATTTCCCTGGCCTTGCCGCTCCTATGGTGGCGTTCGGCCGGATCTGTTTCACCTGCTCCGGTGGGTTTTGCTCTAGGTCTCGATCGACGAGCACTGTAGTGCTGAGGTGGGAATGGGCGAGGTGCGGTCTCGATGGGTAGGGGTCGGGTGCGGCCACGGCAGCTCGCGGCCTTGGGCCGGAGTGGCTAGGGCTGCAGCTCTCCGGGTTTGCTTCCTCTCCCCGATTCTCTGGAGCTGGGTTCCGGGGGGATTGCCGGCGGAATCGAGTTGCTAGTGGTGTTAGTCGACTTGGTGTTGTGGCATTTGGGCGAATTTTTGGAGTTTCTGGCTACGGGGAGATTCGACCTTGTGGGGTATTTTGAAGTTTGGGATTCGGCTCAGCTAGGCGGTTCGGCAGTGGAGGGGTCGGCTTTCTCGGGCTGCGGGATTCTTCTGGGGTCGAGTTGGTGTCTGCCAGTTCATCTCGGTGTTGCCTCTGTGGAAGGGCTTGTGTGTTTTTTATGTTTTTGTGCTTTTTGTTGTCTGTGTTTGTGTTGTTTAGGCATGTGTTTTTTCTGTTTTGTGTTTGTCTGTGTTGGTGTTCGTATTCGTGTTTAGGTTTGGGCCATTTGGTCTCGGTTACCCCGAGTGTGACTTTATTATCCCGTTGGGACCGTACACTCGGGCATTACCCTGTTGGGGCCGCTTTTAGTGTTGTTTTGTGTTTTTTGTGTGTCACGTGTATTACCCTGTTGGGGTCGGGCTCTAGGCGGTCTTTTGACCTGTCCTCCCATTTTTTGCAGTTGTTGGGTGGTTGTATTCAGCTGTTGGCTGTTTGTATTCAGCTGAGGGCTGCTCTTTTGCACAATTGTGCGTTTTTATATAAAATCTCGGAATTGTTCCCAAAATGCAAATGAATCACACTAGAAAAATGCACAATGAAAAATCAACACTCGCTATATACCAGAATCACTTGCTGCTCCGCAAGTTCGTAGGTTCTGGCACTCGCGTGGTCGCGGGCTAGTCCGCTGGTAGGCGACCTAGGTCGCTGGGCGTGCGGGTCGTGCGCGGAGCAGGTCGTGCGAGGCACATGGTCACTGGGAGAGAAGACTCCTGAGCACTCGCGAGGCAGGCGAACAGCTTCGCGGGTGCTAGAGTGGAGACTCGCGACATGGGCAACACTCGCGACCTGGGCGAAGCACTTCACGGGCACAAGCTGGCAGATGACACTGGCGTGCGGACGTGTAGGGCGTCGCGTGCGGGTCTCTCGACGACATGAACGAGTGTCTCAACGACGTGAGCGGGTCTCCCTAGGCACGAGCGGGTATCCTCTGCACGACACGCTTTTTCGGGCGAACTTCCGGCGCTTCCCGATGCATTTCTCGACAACCTTCCGAAGTGCAATTTCTTACAAAAATGAAAGGTAAAAAGAGAAAGTACAAGACATTAAAACTAAATGAAAATACAAAAACGAGTAAAAATGACTAAATGGACCGACAAAACCAAAATAAAATAAAACGAGCACAAATAAAACACGTAAAAACACAGAAAATAATAACAAAAACATATAAAATTTAATAAAATAATAATAATTTTAGTATTTAAATATATATCAAATCATTAAGATCCAACAAATTTTACACTATTTTCAAATTTTGAATCTTCATTAAACTTATAAATATATAATTTATAATTACTTTATCATAATTTATTTTATAAATAATTTTTGCTAGTTTTGACATAGTTACAAGTACATTTCAATTTAGATATTCCATGAGTATCATAAAATTTTAAATTATTTTACAAAAGCTTTAATTTTAATATGAAATACATAACTTCTATACAAAGTAATAATATTTGGCTTAAAAGAAATAATAGATTTATGTATAGACTTCCTCCATCAATTATATCGATTTATTGGCATATTACAAATTTCAATATCTAATAACCGAAAAATATTTTTTTTTTTCGTGAAGGATTAAGCGAGAGGGGAATATGGAAGAATGTAGAGAGAACACGTGTAATCTAGAATATGCCAACTTGCCAAGCGCTACTCGAGTCGAGAACTTGCACAAATTCGCCAGGTGCTTCCACCCAGCATTATAAATAATCCTCCACCGTCCTAATCCTTTATCCAAAAATTTCAAAATCAACTCACATACTTAAAATCTCTTCATCAATCAATCAAACCTGCTCTTCGATTTACACACAAATACCCAAAAAATGTCTCTGATCCCAAGCTTCTTTGGCAACCGCCGGAGCAACGTGTTCGACCCGTTCTCGTTGGATCTGTGGGACCCATTCGAGGGTTTCCCTCTCTCCACCGCCGGGGACACATCGGCGGTGGCCAACGCGCGCATAGACTGGAAGGAGACGCCTGAGGCCCACGTGTTCAAAGTGGATGTCCCCGGCCTCAAGAAAGAGGAAGTCAAGGTGGAGGTTGAGGACGGCTCTATTCTCCAGATCAGTGGGGAGAGAAGCAAGGAGCAAGAGGAGAAGAACGACAAGTGGCATCGCGTTGAGAGGAGCTCTGGCAAGTTCATCCGCCGTTTTCGGCTGCCGGAGAATGCCAAGCTGGATCAGGTGAAAGCAGCCATGGAGAACGGAGTGCTTACGGTGTCCGTGCCCAAGGAGGAGGTCAAGAAGCCTGAGGTTAAAGCAATTGATATCTCAGGTTAAGGAAAGTGTTGATGAGGAAAAAAATAATGTGTTTGAGGGTTTTCTATTTTGATTGTGTTGAATGCTCAAAATAATGATTGTGGTATGTTGATGTTGTTCGTACTTTGTGTGGTTTTGTTTTTAGAAGTTGTGGTGTGTAATGAAATGTGAAACGGTATGTACTCCGAGTCCAAATCATGATGTGCAATAAAAGTTTGAAATAATTGTTCTTCTTTCGTCTGTGAATATCAACTCTTCTACCTTTTCCTGTTTCTTGAACAAGGATCACCTGTCTCTTGGGCATCTGGAAAGTGTGATATTTTTTACATCAGTTTAAGGCCATATTGTGGTCATGCCATTAAACATTGATTTCCAACTTTTATAAAGCCTTCAACTGTGTGCGTTGTATGCTTTGATAGACATTTCGTGAATCTAGGTTGGACCTCAGACTGTTCTTAAATGAATCCAGAAATGAGAGGTAGTGGTTGGTAACAAATGAATAAACTGCCATGAAGTGAAGTCAAGTAAGAACGCAAGTTCTCAACTGTAAATGAAGAAACTTGATCCAAGTTGAAATGATACAGCGGTATACTTTCTCTGCTAGAAAACTGGCCTTGGAAAATTGTCAACTGGGCACTACTTAAATAATGAAGTGTGTATATATAAATGTCTGATAATCTAACTAATGTAGGCAATGGTGTTTCGTGTTAGCAAAATCTTCTCATTTGTGTCAAACTCAGGCACATCATTGTAATTCCCCTTAAACTAACGCATCATTCAATCATGGTAATTGTCACAAGCCCAAACAGGCCCAAATTTTCGCCCCATCTTTAATCGCGGCCCGTCAAACCTTCGCTCGCCCATACAAGTATAGTTTGTCGGCAGTGCAAGCTGTCACTCGTGAAAGCATCAAGTAAATAATAAGTGACACCAACACATTTATGGGCTCGCACCCAACCAAAGACTATAATTACTCAATTGCACAATGGAAATGTCATGGCTCACACACACACGATACGACACCCCACTCAAGCCATCTTTCGTGCACTTAGGCACAATCAAGTACATCTTGGCGTTACTCACGTATCAAGTTGCGCAAAGGAATGGGAAAAGAGAGTGTCGACCTAGCCGCTCAGACATTGATAGCTGAGTCTCCACATGAGTCTTCGTCGCCCCACGAAGACTCGACTGAATCCCACATTCAGCCTAAGGACGCATGCACCAACTCTCGGTCCCTGCAAATTATCCTCCCCCCGCTAAGATAGCCTGGGACCTCGTAGTCATAGAGCATTCCTCCTGTACTCGGCACAACGTCCCTCAATACCATGCCTCGTCATACCTGGATGCGCTAAGGGGTCACACGACCAGCCGATATGTCACACTTAGGGGTGTAACAAACCTTGGTCGCGATGAGCCTCACTCATGTTTATGATTATACAAGAGCTCTTGACACAATTGATGACATTGGTGATTTGGTTGTTAAAGAAATATCTTTCATTGATGGTCCAAACTTGCATTTTTTACTAGGTACGTCAAACCTTTCTTCCGGTGATTGCACTTTGAGCTTAAATACTATTCGTGAAAGTGACCGTATGGAACCGAATGTTGAAATGGTGTATCGCGTGAGTGATAATTTATATGAGTTGATTGTTACTATTTATGAGTTTGTGAATCTAACGGTCTTAAAAAAGCTTGGGAGGATGATCTTGAGGAAAAAGATGAACATTTTTTAAGGGCATGACTGGCCTCATGACGCAAGTCTTGCCATCGGCGTTGCGAGCATTCATCGCCGCCAGTGGCTAACATGCTCAAAACACCGGCGAAGAAGGATACAAGTCCTTCCAAAAGTGGACGGTAAGAATTCCACCTGAGCAAGCCGGTAAGAATTACTTGGTGTGAGGACGATTTCTCACGATTTTTGGCACTTACGGGACGTTTTCCAAAAGTGGACATCGAAGAGGACTAAAGTTCAATTTGGGTCCACTTACAGGACTAAATCTCTAATTTTTTCAACTTACATTGGTACATGAGGAGCAAGTGGGATAATTATTGGACAACAAGAATTACAGAAATTACAAGCGGAGAAAAGAAGAGACTGAAGGAAGATGAAAAATGAAAATCCCAATCTAGCTAGTAGTGTAGCGCTCCTCGTGTTTGTGAATTTGAGAATATTGATGATCAGGCCTTCAAAGTATTCCCCACATCAATCACAAACCTGTACTTGACATCACCCCTCGCCAGCCTCTCCATGGCCGTGTTAATATAATCCACGGATATAACCTCAACATCCGGCAATATATTATGCTTAGCCGCGAAATCAATCATCTCCTGCGTCTCCTTGATCCCTCCAATCATGCTCCCACCAATCATCTTCCTCTGCGTGGCCAGCGCAAACATGGGCAGCTCCAACGGCTTCTCCGGCAGCCCCACCACCACCAGCTTCCCGTGCGGCTTCAGAAGGCTCAGCAGCGCCTGGATCGAATGGAACCCAGAAACAGCATCCAAAATCCCATCCAGCGTCCCTACAGCTGGCTCCAGCTCATTCGCCAGCAAAAACTGATCCGCACCCAGAGTCTCCAGCGCATAGGCCCTCTTCTCGGGCGCGATGTCAATCACAGTCACCTTAGCTCCAAACGCCTTGAGAAACTTCACCGCCACGTGGCCAAGCCCGCCGAGCCCGGCAACCCCGACATTAAGGCCTGGCTTGTCCAGCCCGTAGTATCTCAACGGGCTGTACGTCGTGATACCCGCGCAGACGAGGGGCGCACCGCGGTCCATGGGCAAATTCTCTGGCCACCGGATGACAAAGTCGCGGTCGGCCACCATGAGGTCGGAGTAGCCGCCGTAGGTGAGAGAGCCATCGGGCTCGACGCCGTTGTACGTGTCGAGCTTCTCGTTGCAGTAGTTCTCGAGGTTGCTCGAGCACTGGTCGCAGTTTCGGCAGGACCCGACCATGACGCCGACGGCGACTTTGTCCCCGGCCTTGAAGTCGTCGACTTTAGTGCCAACCTCGGTGACGACGCCGACGACCTCGTGGCCGGGGATCATAGGGTACTTGGCGAATCCCCAGTCGTTCTTGATGAGGTGGAGGTCCGAGTGGCAGACTCCGCAGTAGAGAACACGGAATTGGACGTCGTGCTCGCCGGTGGTGCGACGGGTGAACTCTATTGGGGAAAGGATGCCGGACGAGTCCTTGGTGCCCCACCCGATTGCCTTCACTGTCTTCGCGTTGGCCGCCATTTTATGACACAAAAGTATGGATATTAAGTAAACAGGAAATTGATTATGGAGTTGGAGCTGTGTGTGTACAAGTGATGAAGAAGTTGAGGGAGGGGTGTAGGTATATATAGGCATTTGGTGGGAAGAGATGACAAGACTAGGCGGAGATTTTGAAGGGGAAGCTCCGAAGCTGAGTCATATGTGGGTCATGGTAACATGGCTGTGACTCGGATCAGCTCTCATTTAAGGATGAAATATTTCAATTTACTTGTTTGCTGGGGAAAAACATATTGTGTGTGTGTCCAATGTCAATGCCATGGATATTGGACAGTCTTTTATGTACTTTTTGTTTCTTTTTATTATTTTAATATTATTACTTTTTATTATTTTAATATTATTATATTGTTTGGATAATGGGTGTCGTATGTGGCATCGTGTCAGGGGAGAGTTGGTGTAACAACTCGTACTAGGTAGAATCGGTAGCACCGTCTGAAATCTTGTCTTGTACATTAGTGACAAAAGAAATTGCGGATATTATATTTTGTTAATGAAACATGGTTTTTTTTTTGGTACAATGGAGGAGGCCTAAGGCCTAGGAAGATGATTGAGCTAAGACTCGGCAGGGATACGACACCCCAATAATGTCATGCTCGAGCCAAGTTCCCAAACTTAATGGGGGTGAGGACAGCCTCTGCAATCCAATTGGTGAAGAAGCCGCCATGCATGCTAAGTCTCCTTTCACGTCGAGACTATGTTATAACCTTTCCTTCACTTCGCTTCGCTTCACTTCGCTTCGCTTCTAAAGTTGGGACAGGATAGGCTTTTTACACTAAAACTCTTTGGTCGGCCGCAAAATTCGTTTCTCTGTGTACATGCTGGATGCGAAGGTTCCACTGTTGTTGGATCAGGCCACGGATAGCCTTAACCAAGACATCATGGGCTCCAAACGAGCCGTCGGGGCTCAGAACCATTCTCGTAACGCACTAGCTATCAACCTCAGCAACTACTTGACGATACCCCAAGTCTCAAGCCAGCTGTAACCCCTGATAATGGTGCAAAGGCCTATATTGAAAGTAAAACCCTCGAGCCATCCGCCCAATTCATCACGTAGCAAACCACCCGCACATCCCAAACCCGTGATATTGTCAAAGGCTCCGATAGTGTTCACTTTAATCCAACCAGTTTTGACCATGAGTAAGAAGCCTTATTTTGCAAGGGATTAACCATATGAAAACTGTCAAATACTTTGGTTTGGGAATTAGAAGATCTAATAGAGAAACTTTCCACTTTGTTTGTGAAGAAAATAGATTAACTAATTGGAAAAACATTGAGAGAGGCAGGAAAATAGGTTCTTATCAAATTAGTCATCTGTGTTATCCCTACTTATATAATTAGTGTGTACCCGGTGCCAGGGACGGAGCTAGGATTCAATATCTACCCGGGCTATAATTATTTAACGAAAAAAATAAAATAAAATATGACAACATTTCAAACAAGGTATCATTTTCCAAGTATGTTGATCAAGATGCATTTTCATATCATCATTTTATAATCAAAGAATAACTAAATTCAATGGTGGTATCTGAATGGTTAGAAAAATAAACCAAAGCCTAGTAAGTGGAAGAGAACGATTGTAATATATTGTAAAATTNTAATCTTAATTGTTTGGTCACTCACGGGCTGAATTTAAAACAAAATATCAAAAAAAATATATTAAACTAATGGATGACAGGTCACTCACCGGGCTGAATTTAAAAAAAAATATCAAAACTTATATTAAACTAATGATTTTATGTCCAAAAAATATCTTAAGATTTAACTTGGTGTGCAAGAAATATTTACTTTATTAATTAAATATTTTATTTATCTTGGTTTTATGTCCAAAAATAAATAAAGACATTAATAAATAAAATATTAAAATTTTGATGTACACACATGTCTAAAAATATTTAAATTTAATATATATATATATATATATATGTATACATATATATGTAAATGTATATATTGATAGAATGTGTAAAAAATTGTCTAAATAATATGTTTAAGAGTATATAAATACTATGAGCCGAATCAATGATATTATCTCACACGATAAATTTGTTGAGAGAAGATGATAAGATTTACATTGAATAAATTTGTTGAGAGAAGATGATAAGATTTGCATTGAACACAGAAAATATATATATATATAAATATTGAGATGATAGTATATTAAAAATAAATATTGAGTTCTTTCTTGAGTACAAAAGATTTCAAAAATTAGTTTTTTTTTTATAATAAATAAAATGGGATTTTATATCTAAGATTAAGATGCATTTAATGTTTTTTGGCGGGAAATTCTTTATAAATCTTATTCTCTTTTTATATGATATAAAATCTTATATTATATATGCAAAAGTATCTGAAATATTCTATCTTATTTTTTAAATATGGGTGTGAAGTCACCTACGATTATTCTAAACTATTTTGTAAGAAAAACATGTTTTAATCTAGAGAATATGAAATAAAATTTTCCCAAGTATTTTTAAAAATGTCTAAAATATTATATGTGTTAATAATATTATAACTGAAAAAAAAATATTAAGAATACTTAGACTATTATATAATGTATATAAAACTAAGTATCTAAAATATTATATATTATTCTTGAAAAATGTAAAATTACCTAAATTTTTCTAAACTATTTTATAAGAAAAATATATCTAAAAATAGGAACTCTTTTATATATGATTTTTTTATTTTATTTATATGTGTATCTATCAATCAAAATAGGATACAAATTACTCGGCGTTTTTCTAGATATGTTCCGATTTATGCGTGTATCTCTCCATCAAATGGTTTTGCAAAACAAATTAGCGTCCACTTATAAAATCCGATTTCTTTTAACAGAAATAAAAGATTTTATAAAACGATAACTTACATGTTAAAACTACATGTTCCTTAAAAATTAGGTAACAATATTAGCATTAATTCTGACCGATTTTTTGTTAAATAAAAAAGTAACAAATTCCGCCATTCAAGGATAGCATTTAATGCTACCTGATTTTTTTTTTTAAAAAAGAAAAATTATTCTAAATAGCATGTAATTAATTCTGACCGAATTTTGACCAAGATCTGACTTACTATTTTTGAAAAAAAAGTTATTCTTATTTTAGACTTCCTATTTATGTGTGATGAAATTTGTAGAGAAACAACAAACTTTTGGTATATATTTAATTTAAATATAATAAATATGCACTATGCATGAACTAAATATGCATTTTGTATGAATTAAATACTAGTACGTACCCCGTGTAATACACGGGACATTCATATATAAAGCAATAGGGTTATCATATATTTTCCACCTCTCTTAATCAGCGTTAAGTGTAGTAAAATAATTTATATATTATCTCACTAATACATTTATACTAATATAAATTTGATTTTAGTATATATATATTTATTCCTTGATATAAGAGAGAATAATAATTTTACTTATTCTTGTTCACCATATAATACTTCATTATTATTTTATTATAAACTTTGTTGTCATATAATGCCATTATTATTTATAAAGTTATGGAAGTTGTACGTCTTCTTTTTCTTTTTATTTTATGTAATGAAAAATATTTAATGCACATTAGTATTATTTATTTATGTAATCAATTTAAAATATGTAAATAAATTTAAAATTAAATAGTGTGTAAATATTGTACAAAATATACACATGTTTCTTTTAGAATTTAATTTTGTATACTAATTAAACAAATTTGATTTAAAAAATTCCAAAAACTCAATCTCTTCTATGATCAAGATTTTTCTAGTTCGCATTATAAGGATTTATAGTTTATTTAGCATACTCTGCAATGAAAATTTATTTTACAAGAATTTAATTATAGAAATAAATCAAAATTAAAAAAAATAATCATGGGCGCCAATAATATACAAATAAATTCTAAAACATAGTTAATATATTTCAATTTAATTTTTTACCATTAGTAAAACTATTTAATGTATATGGTCATTATCTCTTAAATGGTAAATTATATTAATTTTAAGAACAATTTACTTTTTATATTTAACAAAATAAACGTAAGAAAAAATATATCGGCAAAAATTAATTCACCAACTTGATTTTGTCAGATTACTTGGAAAAACAATTCTACCTAACCTGTACGATTTTCCATAAATATTTTTGTATAAAAAGTGAATATTTGTGAAAAAAGAAAAATTATATTATGGTTAGAACTTAAAATATGGTGTAATATTTATCTTGACCAAAATATTATCAACATGGATTATGAAAATCAATCTTGTAATTTATTATAATGAATCTATTACTATATAATACGGAGAAGAAAAAATGTTTGAAAAAATATTTCAAATTCCCGCTTAAAAAACTGTTTTCCCCCCTTAAATTTAATTTGAATTTTTTTCATCCCCTTTTTTTGCCATGGATTTCCCTTATCTACAACATGATTAGATTTCAAATCTTTTCAGTTCACATTACAATTCGATTTTAATTCGGGATTCAAAATTTGATTAGATTTTTTTTAAATATGTAAAAAAAAGAGAATCCCCTCTCTCTCTCTCTCTATATATATATATATATACAAATTTGTGATGAGTTGAATTTTAAATTCAATTTAATATTAACAAATGTATATTTTATGTAAATAAAATTTAATAGAAAAACAAAATTAAAAAGATTGTGTGGTAACATTTTTCGAAATAAATAAATTATGGGAAGGTGATTTTGTTAGCAAAAAATTCAAAGAATTTTGTTTGGGTTCAAATTTTGAATACGTGTATGATTAGTTATAGATAAATGAATCCAACATATTCTAACTACCAAAAAATATGGAAACACATTTCCTTATTTAAAAATTCAAATTCAAGAATGTGAGGAGTTGAATTTTAGATTTAATTTGAAATTAACCACTAATGTATATCTTATGTAAATAAAACATAATAAGAAAAAAAAATTTGTGTGGCAACATTTTTCGAAAAGTGTGAGGAGTTGACTTTTAGATTCAATTTAAAATTAACCAATGTATATCTTATGTAAATAAAATTTAATAAAAACAAGAAAAATAGAAAAAATGTGTGGTAACATTTTGGAAATCTATTACTATTATTACGACTAAGAAAAATTGTTCAAAAAACTCAAAAAAATTATCTTATTTTCCCGCTTCATATTCCCGCTTTTTTTTTCGTTTTATTACTTTATTCGGTAAAGTTTTTTTATTTATTTTTTTCATAATCCCGCCTACATTTCAATTGTAATTTATTTGGACGTATATCATAATCCTTTTTTTTTTTAAATCGATTTGGTAGGAATCGGATATTTCCTTTTTTTTGGAAGGGAGTTGATATAAATCGGATAACATCAATTTAAATTAATTAATTATGAAATTTAATTTCCTTTTTTTTTCAAATCCGATTTATATTATATAGATAGATTTCACTTCCTTTTTTTGTAAGCGATTACCTCTTTTTTTTGTAAGCGATTGTTTCAATTAAACGTGCACTAAGATCGGGTTGACCGAATTAAACAATTTTGAATAATATTAAATTAATCGATTACTATTAAATTAATTTTATTTGATTTTCACGTTTAAAATTTTCCAAAATACTACTTTTATTTTTGTGGAAAATGGCGGTTGGATGAAAAAGTCAAATTCAAATTAAAAAAAATTGTTATTTTGAAAAAGATATTTTGTAAACCTTAATTCATAAAAATATGGTCAATGATAACTTTAAATACAACGGGTAAATATGGTCAATGATATCATAAATTATATTTTATATTCGATAAGTTCAACTTAATTGATGATTTTGTTTGTTGATATTTGCTTAACTACAAAATATTTTAAAGTTTATAAAGAATCTCATTTTATGTAGGTTCTTGGTACTTTTTTATTTGTACATATTCATTTTTCATCCCATATCCAAATACAAATTTAAATGCGGATCTTACATGTTTATTAGAAATATATGTATATTTTTTCAAAAAGTATGACGATCATATAATTAATTTTATCATATATCATATGTTGGATGTTATTAGTTTGGTTGAGGACACTCATTATATTCAAATAAATAATATATAATTTTTCATATTTGGTATTTCTTTTTTTATAATAATAAGATGTTAAATATAAATAACTATGTTTAATATAAAGTCTTAGAAAAGGTTTTAAGTAAAAACCCCTCCGTGCAGCGCACGGGATACACACTAGTATCAATGAAAGCATTACAAATATTAACAAAATAATATTTATCTTGACCTAAAAATTATCAAGATGGATCATGGAAATCAATCTTGTAATTTATTATAATAAATATCAATGAAAATATTGCAGATATTAATAAATTTATTTAATTTCTTGATCATATCTTATTTGATCTTAGTTGAAAACGTGTATATGTAAGCAGTTAATGTATATATTTAAAAGTTTCCAAAAACAACATGCATTAAATGTTTCCTAAATTTTTTGCTACTATTTTTAGTAAATGGTAATTCTTATTATATATATATATATAGATGCATCATGAATGAACTAAATATGCATCAAACCAAACATGCACATGTATATACTTAATTTAAATATAACAAATATGCACGATGATGAACTAAATATGCATTTTGTATGAACTGTATATGCATCATGAGTGTACTAAATATGCATCATGTATATATTTAATTTAAATCTAATAAAATGGATGACCCTTAAACGGCTCGTCTGAAAATCCGGTCCGGTCCCGGACCTATGGTCAACGGGTTTGACCGGGCCGGTTGACTCGTGGCCATGTCTACCAGCAGCGACAATGAGAAGACGATAGCTGACCGCTGACCCTCCGTAAACATAGAGGAAGACCGCCGTTCAAAATCCCGTTGAAATCGAAATTCGCCGGTCGAAATCCCGTCGAAATCTCAGCCAACCGACTACTTTTTTTTGTCCCCGTCAAAATCGCAAGGAAAGTCCGATCGCGTCTCAATGTCTACAAAATTGGACCCCCATGTCGCTGTTGCAATACTCGTCCAACTATCGATAATCCCTCATCCACCTACCCCGGTCGTTTGATCAGTCAGACCAGAATCTGGCCAGCGACGTCTATTGAGCAGCCCTGCGCCGGAATTAAGCCCTAGCTTTCCAAATCTGATTTTTGTATCCACGACCAGAAAATGAGATTTTTTCGTTCGTCGATCTGAGAAGATGAACTTCGGCCGGCAAAACGAGCTTCATTAGCACTTTGACCGGTCACTCTGTCGCTGGCAAGGTCCTGGTCGAGCACGCCGGTCGGAAAAACGAGCTTCTCGGCTTGTTGACCGATCAACGATGGTCAATAAAAATATATTAATTTATGTATTATAATAATTAAATACAATAATTAATATTTTTATTATGTAATTAATATGTATTCTAATTGATTTATTTGAGAAATTGATCTATATAAAATCAAGACTATGATTGAGTCTTGAGTCATTGAACATAGATATCATCTACACCAATAGACTTTCCAGGTGATAAACTGCGAGACTTTAGTTTTTATGAGAGACAGGAGAGAGTTGGAGAGGCTTCTCTGAACTCTTCAATATATAGATTTCTCTGAACGAGAGCTAAACAATTGTCCTTTAGAATTAATTTCCGTTCTTCTATCCTTCTGGTTCCTTTATTAATATTTTTTCATATCTCATTTACCCATTCAGAAATCGTCGATTTTTTTTGTGATATATTCTTTTGCTAGGATAATCCCCGATAAATTTTAGGGGTTTTGGGTGGTTTCCGGTTACAGCGTTTGTTTTCCGCAGAAATTTGTAAAAAGTTGCAGTCTTGATGGGTCAGTGATGATAGGGGACTGAATGGTGTTTTCCCTGTTATTACTTTCTGCAAACATCGTCTGAGTTATGATTTTGAAATGTTATTTTTTAAGAGAAAATGATAATCAATCCGTCAGTCCTCGAGTCTTTGAAGAAGAATCGTTGATTAATCTGGAAGTGTTTGTTGATGAATTTTTGTTCGTGTGTCTATGTAATGGTGATGAAGTTGTCTGTCAAAGTAATGGCATGCTCTTGAACTTTTGATGGCATAATGGGGTTTGCTTCAGATATTTTTTTTGTATCAAAATATTCCACAATAGTAATTTGAAGGGAGCATTTGTCAAATTATTCGATGCCACTTTTGCAATTCATATCCACAAGCTTTTGACTTTTTTCCCTCTTTCATTTTCCTTTCCCTTTTCCCCATTGAGTTGGTAGGTGGTTGCTGTTATGTGTTCCTTTATGATGTTAAGATTGGATTCACAGAATACTTTTGCCAAAGTTCATTGTTGTTTGCCAGCTTTTTTGGACCTCCTCTTGCCTTTAATCTCTTCATTTGTATCATATTGACCTCGTGTTCAATAAAAACAGATAAAAAAAGGAAAAAAAAATAGAAGAGAAAAAAGAAACAGAGAAGAAGAGGAGAACAAACCATGGCACTTTCTTTCACTAGATGGTTGTGGTTGGGAGGGAGAGAAAAGGAGAAAGTCTCTAATGGGTCTGTAATGAATTCAATAAATTCTAAAGGCGATTGGGGGGTAGGATTAAGGGGTGAGCCTGAGAGTTTGAAGTTCTTTCCTGTGAAAAACTCAGCCAGCAGAGTCAAGAGGAAATGGAAAAGTAGGGAAGAGAGAGGAAGGAGAGTGGATAAAGAGTATGATGTGGTTTTAGTGCCTTCGGACGGTATTTGTCTATCGGGCTCTGAATCGGACGACTCGGATTGGTCCATCGGGTGGCTTGAGCCGCATGCCTCCAATTTTGAGAGCGATGCTGACGAGGACGATAGCTTTGCTGTGCTTGTACCTTGCTATAGGCATGACTTTAGAGAAGTAAATGAGGTTGATGAGGAGAGCAAGGGTAATCCATTCTTGAACGCCGTGAAGAATTTCCCGATTATTTATTCGGCTGGTAAGGGAATTTTGATGAAATTGGGATGATTTTGATTTCCCTTGATTGTTTGTTTTGGATTTTGTATATAGATGGAATCATGAAAATTGTTCTGAAATCTGATTGAGATGGAGTTATTATTTTTCCTTTTCTTATTGTGCTACATATCTAAGTATGCTATTGGTGATCAGGAAAATGATGGCAACTGGTTTATGCTGTTGAAGTTTTTTTCATTCTCATTACATTTGTATTTGATGATGAGGTGCTTTTGTCACTGTTTAACTATGTAATGATTTGCTTGTGATTTATTTTGCTCTATTTCATGTCTATCCTCGTTTGGCCATTTTCAAACTATGCAGATGGCACAAAGTATATGGAGCAGTGGCTTTCTTCTCTCCAGAATTTTTGAAGTTTACCATATCATTCGACTGAGCTAATTATTATACATATATTTGCCATTCTTGGAAGAATCATCAATTTCTACCTTAGAATACCCGGACGCATTAGATATCGCATGATGAACTGGAATCTTTCTAACCGTGACAAAACGGGCAAGGTGGGTTTATCAGCATTAGGCTCATGCGGGCCAGTCGCTTGAGGAAAACTTTTGATTTATCGTACCATTGATTTGTTCATCGTGTAAATATAAACCCATTATATTTATATGTACATAATGTCTTCACTTCTGGATTTTTTAGTGTAAATATATGCCCTATTTGAGCTTGAAGGTATGAAGTGATGGTGACAAGGTGTTAAGCCCTTACATTTGTGTGTCTTATAATGGTAATTTGATGTGGTTTCAGTAGACTTGATTTTCTCTGTTACAAGAGATGATCATACCTTGTTTTGTATTCATCTTTGCTTGCACAAAGGAAGATACATAGATACTTCCTGAGCTAAATATTTCATGGCTTTTTTTGCCTTTTGGGACTATTCTTCTTAGCCACTTTTGATATGCAAAGATATCACTAAAGAACAGCTGTTCTCAAGATTTTGTATCCATTGAGTTATGGTTTGAAAGTTTGTCATAAGGACATTTTTCATAGGTAATGAAACTATGAAAAATGTTTGTAGCAAATGGGTTCATATAGTCACATGGCATGTGTTAGCATGGAATCAAGTGATGGAGGAGGAGCATGTGGCCTTTGCTATTTGTGGATATAAAATCACGAAAAGTAAAATTGGCTCTTTATGTTGGCCTTTCAAGAATTTTTTNTTTCCTTTCATTTATCCTTTATACTAAAGTCAATTTATGTTATGAAAGTGATGCAAAAATTAATTTGTAGGGCTTAACCCCACTGCCTAATTTCCGGTTGGCATTCAAAAGAGAGGGCGATTCAACCAATGTCCTTTTGTTTTGTGGCTATCCGTAACCTATTAGTACCCTGGTTGGTGCCCCTCTTAACATAGAAATTATTATAACACAATTTTTTATGGAATTTAAACTAATCGTTATATTTTAATAAAAATAAATATTTATGCTATACAATGTTCAATCGTTAGGCGGATCAGTTCATTATATTTTTGCAACAATAAATATTTATGCTATAAAGTGAAATAATTTTATTTTTAAGAAATTGGCATTACAATTTAAAAATATAAATATTTGTTGAAAAAAATATTGATTTGTGTAATCATTGAGCCTACCTAGCATTGTCGGGGATGCTTGGATATAGGATTGTTAGATTTTGATTGGAATTTTTTAGTTCTGTATGGTTAGATTTGAA